TCTCCAGATTACCTCAACAAATTAACAGCTAGAATGCCAAAGGTCTGCAATGCTGTAATTGGTGCAAATGGAGGATTCTTTGACGAAAGCAAAGTTTGATGTAAAAAAAAATGTTATTTAAAATACAAATCATTATTTCTAACCTTGTCAATGTCTTGACTATATTTGCTATTCATTTCACAACGTATGGCCTTGAATAAGTGTGACTTTTCAGGAAAACACAAAATTGTTTGGGTGACCCCAAACTTTTGAACAATAGTGTAATCTCAGGTGGAATTTGCTCCTAAGGCCCTCAGGGGATAAAGGATGTTTTTTGCCCCCGCCAATCTTTTAACAGTTGAACCAAAAAAAAAAAAAAAAAGTCTATTACAGTAAAACAGATGAATGAAATAAACTACTATCCTGTTGGAGTTTTCTCTAAGGGGGGGGGGCAACAAATTCACAATAGGCGTATACTACAAACCGATCATAGTTTCATTTACAGGTTTACTTTTGTACACAGATCTTGCCCTTCTGAGGCTTTGTTAAGGTAAATTTGTGTTTTGCACTAAAACTATCTAAACTACTCTTTCTAAAGTGTCATTGTTTTCAGTATGCCTGTGAATTTTACTGTGTTTACGCAGTGAAATATTGATTTCAGGTTAGGCAGCAGGTCCATCACTGGTGCAGTCTCATCACATGCTTTAAGCCTGCATTCGCATCAGAGGAGGCAATGACATCACAGGTAGGGAGCGTGCTGTATTCAGGGAAGCAAATATGGATGGTATTGCTTTATCCAGGTAGCTGTAAAAAGGTAAATTGTTTTATCAGAGCATTCTGAGCCGAACTATAGATGCCTTACAGAAATATTCCTGACCATGCAAATGACGTATGTATGACTGCTGGTGCTGCGTTTTCTGTTCTTCACTGCTAACATTCTGCCTGCCTTTCCAAACCAACACATCACAGAAATACAAGCAAAGACCTGGCATAAATAAATGAATTCCTCTGACAGAGATTAAAAACCCTGAATCAGCCATTTTCCCCTTTTTGTTTGACGTTTTTGTTCTTTCATTTAGACGAACCTGTGGCACAGAAAGCTCTTTTTAGCCTCCTGTCAGTACGGATCAGACAGGTTTGCAGAGCAGAGTGTGTCAGAGCTCAGAAATCCTCCAGAGTCAAACACACCATCATGTCTGCAACTGCTTTCATACAAAACAAATCTGGACTTAAGTAAATATACATTTCCAGAATTGAGTTATATTCTGTCAGATTACCTCAACTTAGATAATGGAAAGAGACAGAGCAGATAACTGCTGAATGGAAGGATCTGGCCACAAATCAGCCGCAGGCTACATCAAACTACAACTGCTACTTTCACCAGACCATAAAAACGCTTGTGCAGAGCGGTCAGAAGATGTAGAGGTGTGTTTTCCAGAGGAAACATTTCAGTATCTGACGTTTCTACATCTGCTGTCATAATCAAAAGAGACAGGCAATCTACAACTCTCTACATGTTTGTATAAACAGACCAATTCCCCTGATGGTGCTGTGTGCAGGGCAGCACTGTGGGAATGCTTGCTTTTTTTTTTACTTTAAGATAAACAAATAATCAGCATCCTGAGTCACTGCAACCAAAGCTAAACATCATGATTACATTTGATCCCACAGGATCTATTCTACTTTGTTAACAAATTTATTGCAGAATTGTTTAACAAAGAGGTTTTTCACAGGACATGCACATGTTTGTTTCGTGCAATTAGATGGTTTGTCATCGTTACGGGATTCTGAAGCCAAAGACACGTTGCTCCGGTCGAGTTAAAGCAGAAAACAACTTTTAAAACAGAGCAAACTTGAGTTTTAAACACTAAATGTTTTATTACTGCATGTTTCCAGTGATGGGTTTCTTAAAAAAAATGAACTGTTTCAAACTCAATCAAATCTTTTACAATCCTGCTATTTAACCAGACGTCTTTGTGTTTTAGAAATTATACCAAAAAGTATTGCAATAACTGATAACACTGCTGTTTGGAGACAGCTGATCTGTGAAACCATTGAAACTAGGGTCACAACTATTAAGTATTTACTCAATAAATTCATCATGAATGTATTTTTTGACTAATCTTAATGGAGATTCATTCCGTAAATTGAAATTCCTTAATAAACACATTTTTTGACAACTTTTTGGATTAAGGCATTAATAATTAGGAAGCAAAAAGTGTTTTTCTTTTTTTTGTGTGATTTAACCAAGGTGAAACTTATACTGCCTCTTTAATATTTTCGAATAGAGAATATTTGACGAAAAAGAAGATTTTTTTTATCTTTTTGACAGTTTAGCCTAAATTACTGCTCCGAATGGGTAATTCTCAAACGAAATTCATCTTTGAGACTCAGTTCAAAACTATTTTATTACCAGAAAAAACACCAACATACAAACTGTTTTATCTTCTTTGATTTTTATAAATTTGGCACCATTTGGAAATCTTAGAGCTGCTCAGTGGTGCAGTAGGTAGCAGTGCCGCCTTGCAGAGTTTGCATGTTTTTCCTGAGTAGGTGTCTCTCCAGGTACTCCGGCTTCCTCCCACAGTCCAAAATCCAAAAACATGACTGTTAGGTTAATTGGCTTCTCTAAATTCTCCTTAGGTGTGAGTGTGTGTGTGAATTGTTGTTTGTCTCTGTGTTGGACTGGTGACCAGTCCAGGGTGGACCCCGCCTCTCACCTGTAGACAGGCAGAGATGGGCACCAGCACGCCTCGTGACGCCGCTTGGGATAAGCGTGACGGAAAATGGATGGAAAGCTTAGACTCCACTCTTTCAGGATCTGTATTATTAATGACTCCTAGTAGACTTGTTCCTGGTTTTCATATCTCATATTTTACAGTGAGATTCTTCGCCAGCCCATCCATGACTGCAGTAATCAGCTGTTTGCGTCTATAGAGTAGAACAGGGGTCTCCAACCCTGCTCCTCAAGATCTACTGTCTTGCAGATTTGAGATGCATCCCTACTCTAACAAATACTCCACCGAATTCAATTATCCACAACACTTGTCCCTGCTGAGATTGCAAGGGGTGCTGGTGCCTATCTCCAGCTGTCAATGGGTGAGAGGCGGGATCAACCCTGGACAGGTCGCCAGTCCATCGCAGCTCCACCGAATTGAAAGGATTGAATTACCTCTTAGCATGCCATCGAGTTTGGCAAAGGTTTGGTAGAAAGTTATGTTTTGGAGCAGGGATGCATCTAAAATCTGCAGGACAGTAAATATTGAGGAGCAGGGTTGGAGACCAATGCAGTAGAGTTTGGAGGATTTGGATCCAACATCTTTTAATGGTTTGTTCACTTTTAACAGCGAGAAAGAGGTTGTAGTTTTTGTTAGCGTTTTTCTTGAGGTGAGGATCTCCACCTCTGGTAGCACATTTTGATTAAAGAAGGTCAGTTTTTGTTGGATCAGATCCACAGAGTCTTTCATTACCAACATTTGTAGATGGAAGGGTCTGACTGAAAACAGAAAGTAAACAAGCAATCCCAGAAAGAACAACAGCAATGAAGAGTTTTTTTATAGGGGGAAATAATTCCATCAAGCAACCAGACACAACTTCGCTCAGAGCTTATACAGAAAGGTTTCAGGTGGAGGAAAAGAGTCCAGGCAATCAGAGTCGGATCTGTCCTATGACATTCCTATAATATAAATCCAACTATTCTTCTGCAGGTTAAAGAAATGTTCAGCTCCAGTTGAGAAAGTCGCTCAACCGGAGAAAAGATATTGACTGTTTTCCATTCCGAGTCTGTGAGGCTAGAAGGAGAAATAACTTTAATATGTTTTCCGATGCTGCACAAATAGATTAAATGAAATAAAAAGCAGATTTAAGCCAGAGCTGCCTTTACGGAACGATCAGAAAGATGTTTTTTATGAATCTCGTGCAAATATTTATTGATGAAATCATGAGCTCTTTGGACTCAGTGGAAATTTGGAAGCAAATCCAGAGGAATCATCCAAAAACTATTCAAGCAAAAGATTTGGATCTTTAAGGAAGACAATGACGCAAAGCATAGCAGATGAGTGCTGAAAGACTATTCTGTTCAGGCCATAAGAAAGTCCCTTAGAGTCCTGTCCTACATTCAATGGACCACCAATGGGACCCGCTCCAGAACATTCTTCATTTGTCATTTAGCAAAGGTGCTGCTGCTGTACATAAACAGAACCTACACTTGGGCTGTTTCGAAATTCACAATAAAGCAAGTACGGACTCATGTCCTCGCCGAGTATGTTCTTGAGAAGAACACAGGAAGGTGTGGACTCTGGGAGAACGCAGCATAAATATGGGTCCATTGGAACAGAACGTCGCCACACACTCGGCTCGTCTGGAGCTAGTCTGTAGATAATAATAAATTCTTACTTTTTTCATTTATTGGGTGAATAATAATTAACACAGTCAGATAAACACAAATCAAATGCCAAATAAAACACCCCAAAAAAAATCACAGCCAGCGGTCCTTCACACCTGACTATGCAGAGAGAGGGCTGCTGTAGACGGGCTAGCATTAGACCTGCTGCCGTTACCCTTGGAGGTCCGCTGGTCGCTGCGGTCCTCTCAACATGGAAAATTGTTTTTTAGATTACGCAAATCGGTAAATGGGCCACATAGTGACGCTTAGAAGTATGATATTCTCGCCTCAAATTATCTTAAAACATACTTTTATTGAGCAACAGCAACAGAAAAGAGAATTTTTAGCTTAATAGTCTGAGCTCTGTGAGCTTCCACTGGAAGCTGCTGCTGCAGCAGTGCATGCTGGGACAGCTGTCAATCTCAAGAACGGACAAGTCTGCTCTGATGCATGCTGGGTAAAGAGGGAGAAGCGAGAAAAACATCCGTGACTTTGTCCGTTCTCGATCCTCTAGTTCTTTTGAATTGGAACAGGACTAGGGCTGAGGCTGATGACGTTTCACAAGCACACGACAACGCACAAGTACACATATTGAGAAACAGCTTATGTGTGTGGACCAATGCTGAGTCTGACTTACTCTCTCTCCTTCTCAGTGAGTCTGTCTGTGATGGTGTCCTTGATGGAGGAGCGGGAACCCTTGTGTATCACCGGGTACCGAAGAGGGAGCTGAAGGAAGCAGGAGATCATCAGGACCAGGTGTGCTGTGTAACCCAGGGCGACCGCCACGCTCCCATCATCTTTCGCTGCAGCACAAACAGGGTTAAACTCAGTGTTAATTAATCTGGTGGCTTTTTGAAGGAGACATTAACACATCAAAGACATCATGTTAAGCAAATCCAACCCAAGACAGCAGAACATTATTCAGGCAGGAAAAGGTATTTTATCCCCTTCAAAACTTCAAAGCTGCAAAGCGCAGCAGTTTGCAAGACTGTCAGCTCTGTTTGGTATTCGATTACATGGAAACATAAAATTGTGGATTCATCGTATCATAATTAACCAACAGAAGATGACTTTGAAACTGAGTCCCTGAGAGGAAGATGAGCCGTTCTGCTCATGGGACCAAATGTTCTTTAAGTCAAACAAAATATGAAACGGAAAACGTTTGCCAAGTTGGGACTTCCAGTTTCTGTTTAAAGCTTCATTTCAATAAAAACAACTTTGATGAAATAAACATTTCAGTCCAGAAATAAGCGAGAAAATGTAAAACCTACATGCCATCTGGTTTGGGTTCTTTCTGATGACAAACAAACAGATCAACTGAAGGACAAAGGATTGAAGGCTGCAGCAAAGAGGAACAAAAAGCTACTTTGTCTAATGTTTCGATTTGTATCAAAATATATCTAGCTTTAGTTTTCCTAACTTTTAACCACTTCCACATTAAATCACATTACATGATCCAGTTTTCATTAGGATTTTATTTGATGGGAAAACACCAAAAAAGGAAAATATTTAATGGTTTAATGTTTTCCTTTTCTATTTATACATCCGATAATGTTGTTGGAAGTAGTTCTAACCGTCCTTTTATTCTGGAAGCCAAATTAAAGTCTAGTCTGAGGCCTGTGGGTGCTGCACCCCCTAGCTGGGACCCCACAGAGCCACCAGGAATGAGACAACGTCTACTGAAGTACCCAACCCTGTCCCTAGGAAACTAGCAGAGACAGGCACCTGTCACTGGCAGGGAGCATAAGAAGGGGGGAGGCGATCGACCCTGCTCATACTTGGGGCCTAAAGGCTGATTTAGGCCATACTTAGGGCCTTTATACGCAGAAAACAGGTCGTCTGCGTGTGTCTCGCAGTGAGCGCAAATATGCACCCGCCCCTTCCACTGCACATCTCCAAAATTGTAGGTGACTGCAGACAGTGCTGCGGACAGAAGGCCTCTGATTGGTCAAATCTACATCCACTCTACACTATGCGTTTTTCCTGTTTGGTATCTCACAGGCTTGTTTTGTTTGAATGACCGCCATTGTGGAAAATGACTCATGAAGATGGACCAGCTAGAAGAGTGAGGTGAGCAAGAACGCTGGGACCCTTTTTCCACCTGGATCCCCGCTCTTTTTCGCCCTCATGTCCCTCCTTTGTCGCACAAACTTGCCCCCGGTTCCTCACCGCATGGCCGCATCTAGACCCACAGCTAGTTCCTGATCGTCTCTCTTGCGTTGTGGTGTGGAATAACATAGCGCAGACCATGCTTCAATGTTGGGCATAAATCAAAATCAAAATTATCAGCAACAAGCTCACAGCGAAACTCTGATGCGGGGAGTAAAACCAGCTCTTTAGGCGCCTAAGATGTTTCAGTAGGTGGGCGGAGAGGCAAACACTAAATTTGACAAGTAGACAAAGAAATAATCACATTCTTAAAGTCACATTCACAGAATCCCACCCTTACAACCATGCATATACAAACACTCAACATGTACACAGAGGAGGATACTACATATGTTCTTACACTTATCATACATACATTACAAATCCTTTCTCGATTTCAGGTTTAGCCCCAAACACCACCCCAGACCCACCACCAGAAGAGACTACCAACCCCACCCACCCCCAAACAGCTCTGACCACAGCTAGTCCATGGTATCCCCCAATATACCAAGCATCCGAAACGTTTTCTCACCAGTGCTCCTCCATGTTTATCAAATGCACTCAGATTTCTTTTGGCTCGTTGAATCAGACTGGTGCAGTGTGATATCGTCCGTACTTTGCACTCAATAGTATCAGGTAAACTAGCGGGTTCACGCAGGTCTGATGCTCCCACTGCATGCTGATTGGAGCAGAGCCATTCGAAGACGACTTTAACCCAAATCACTTGCAGAGTCATTTGACGGTTTGACACGTGTCAGTGAGCCGTTCCCACTGCCACTAAAAGCCAATTGTTTCCAGGCTTAAAAGTGGTTTTAGACCATTGGGAAAGGGGTATAAGTGTCTAAATGCATTCCAACAACCACAGGTGGGAATGAGCAGCGGAGGCAAAGCCTGAGGGCTGACCCACTTCCACTGCCCACCCTGATGCCCTACATAGATATATCTTGGTAATGACAGAAACCACATAGGAAGCCCCAGCCTGGTGACGATCCCCGAGATCCTGTGTGGGTGGAAGTGTGATAGAGCAGGTGAGGGGAGGCATCTGGAGATGGGGAGCAAAGAAGTGGGGAACGGGGTCCTATTATGGATCCAGCTCCCCTACTGACCCAAATAGGCACCCAGTTCACCTGGAAGCAGACCGTAAACCAGACCTGCCCTTTATTTTGTTTTAGTTTTTGTTAAGGGTAGGACTGGGCACTGAGACACTGACTTTGTCACTCCAGCCCTTTATGTGGCAGTAATATGCTTATATAATAAGCTTAATGTGGGTTTGCCACAACGATGAACAGAAGACAGTCGCAGCTAACACAGAGATCCATGCAAGAGTAGAAATTATTTTTTTTCCAAAGAGCAGTAACAATAACATTCTGCAACAATGGACTCTGGAAAAGACAACTTTACGGGTCATAATAATAATCAAACCCTGGAGTGAAACATCTACTTGCTTCTGGTTAGTGCAATCCAAGTGAAATCTCTATTGAAAAACTGATTTAAAGAAATAAAAGGATAAAAACTGCGTGGAAGAATTTTGGAAAAAGGTTTGAGCAAACAGGAATGTGACGTGGAGCAGCGGTGATCAAACAACCACAGAGAACTCAGCTCAGAATTTCTACTGAAAGGGTTCAGGTGGAGGAAGAGTACAGGCAAGGGGATCAATAAAAAAAAAATGCTATTTAGATTTATTGGGAAAATCTTTCAGAAGAGGAAAATTCTAAGAAAAACAAAAGTGCCTGAGGGGACTTAAGGAAGCAAATCAAATATTAAACATATTGCAAAAAAATGTCCACCTGACTCCCTTTTTTTTGTCCACAAAGGGAAATACATGTATGAGTTATGGTCATTTTTTCAGTTTAGAGGATTGGTTTGCAAACCATACAAATTTCCAGGTCCTTTAGTTAACATCTATGTAAATTCAAAATCCTTAAACGGAAGATAAATAACATTTTTGGCCTAAAACATGGTCAGGTCACAGACACTTAATAAATTACCTTGAAAGTCGTCTGAGTTTGGCAGCTTCACTCCACAGATGACATAATCCGACTGATTGACCTGCAGATTGAGGGAAAAGGTTTCATTTGAAGGACAATAAGGAGCCAGCAGAAGCAGAGCCACACAAGATGAGGGATGATATGGGAGGAAAAACCATACAGCTGGCAGACGGATTGGGTTTAAATCATCCGGTTATGGTCTTAAGGTATCAGCATTCCAACTTTGTTAGCCAAATATCTTACAAAAGTGAGTGATTAGAAAGAGTCTGTGAGGAACCTACAGAGATGTGAGGACTCTGGACGATCTCTGAAAGCAGAGAAACATGAGCCGTAAAAACATGTATTATTTTAGAAGAAATGTGGACTAAAGATGTGTGGGAGGTATCCATCACAAAATGTCTCCAAAACTTCTGCTTCATCCATGTCAAATATATTTTCTAAAACATGATAAATGAAAGAAGGAGCAGACAGCCGAAGGATCGAAAATAAATACGTATTGCAACCATTACAGTATGTGACACATTGGAGGCTAAAGGGAAGAGCTTTAGAGAGCTGATAAGCTTATTAGGAGGGAAGTATTTATACAGCTGAATGTGGAGAAATATCTGAGGTTTATCAAGGCAGAAAATGAGAGAGAGCAAGATTTTCAGCAGGTAACAGGAAGGCTAAACATCCTGCCACTGTTCATCCTTTTGAGCTCTATACTTATCAAATATAACTCTGTTGAAATAGAGTTGAGAATCTATAGTACATCTATTAGAATCTAGAAACGCAAGCTGTGCTAGTGGTGAATATAAAATGCCGATGTCTTTTTAAAAAGGTTCAGTTTCTTCTTTTTTCTTCACGTTTGAATGACCGGAACTGAAAAATACTATACAAATATGCTGCAATTTTACCTCTAACGATGTAGTTCTTTAAGACAAACTGAAACTGGTTCAAATCTTAAGAGTAAGTCAAAGCTTTAGAAATACTGCAAATAAGAAGATCGGATCAATGTTCTGATCAGTTTATCAGTAATTGTGCGGAAGACTGTAACGGAGAACGGTAGAATCGGCCTTCGCTCTTACCACTTCGATGGGGTAGATGTAGGAGAGCTCAGAGAGGAGCTGGCGACAGCGGAAGGTGAGCTGGGCGTTGGTTTTCAGGAAGTGTTCTCTGAGGAGATAAACCAAACAACAGGGGGGGGGCAGAGTGAGCAGCAGGCTGGCAGGAGGAGACAGTGGGAGCATACAGGTAAAAGACGATGCTGAGAATCAACAGCTTTGACTCTCTATGCTCCACTTATCTGGAACAAACTTCCAGAAAACTGTAAAAGTGCGGAAAGCCTGAGTTCCTTTAAATCAAGACTAAAAACACATTTGTTTAGGATTGCCTTCGACTGTTCTAGTTAAACAGTTCAACTGAAACATCATTAGTTCAACTTTTATTTATTTTTCTTTAGTCCAAATGTTTTTTATGTTCTTTTTTGTTTCTGCATTTTTTATTTTATTTTATTTATTTATTTATTTTTTCTACTTGCTTTGATTCTGTTTTATTTTCCTATATTTTAATCATGTAAAGCACTTTGCACTGTCTTTTTACTGAATTGTGCTATACAGATACATTTGCCTTGCCTTTTCCTATAAAAAGACCAACAGGAAGGGGTTTAACACAGTTTGGTGGTTTTTAAGGTTAAACTGCTTGAATAAGTCGCATCACTTGTGAAGATGCCCATCTTTTAACTTCAGCAAATTATTTTGAAAACCCAGACGCTGTGATCATTTGGTTTCCAGTTGGTGTGAACCGATTCCTGTGTTTTATGATTTTTGGCTAGCTTTGTCGTACACTCACCGCCCTCCTGCCCAGGCCGTGTAAATGTTTTCTTTGATCATAATCACTGCTGAGTTAAATATTAGAAGGATGGCAGATTGATACCTCTAGGGCACATTTTATAGTAAATCTTGGAGAATTTGTAGAAAAAGAATAATTTTTAAAAGTTGACTTTTCTTCCCGTCCAGAATAAAAGTGATTCCTTCAAGGGTTGAGTTTCTTAAAATTTTTACATATGAGATTAAATATTGATTTCAATATCAATACAATAATCATGTCTGTTAGGATAAATATCATTGAAGATGTGTGAGTTTATTAAACCTTGGTATTGGCTGCTTGTTGTGTGTCAGAACTGATGTTTTAATCTAATTAGGACAGTTTCTCTGTCTGGATCAACAGTTATAATCTTCATTCTGTACTTGGCAAAGATTAGGAAATGGAATGAGGGCGAAGTCCTTCAGCTAAGGACAAAGTGTAATATTTTTAATAAGGCTGGAGCCATGGATGTCTAATCATCTGCTAACGTATAGGATGTAAAATATGATGATGTGGCAGACTGGAGATGTTTAAAATGCCTTTTTTAACGGGGCAACTTCCTGAGAGGTGAGCAGCTGCCATTTTGTAAACTCTAAGAAATTTCTCTGGTCTGAGTAAGATTACAATTTCTATCAGAATCTGTTGTCAGGTCTCATTGTTATTTAATGCATATAAGTTCTGAAGTGTTATCTAAAGAGTTTGTCCTGAGTGATCTCTTTTCAGGAAAACGAAATGGAGAGATAGAGCATTAAAGGAATAGTACACCCAAAACATGATTAGCCTTCATTTTCTACTCACCCCCATGCTGAACAACACTCTGGAGTACTTTTTTGATATCTCAAATGCATCTGGAGATCTGGGAGGCTTCTTGCTGTCTGCTGACATTCAAATAATGGAGGTCTATGGCGCCCGAGACAGAAAGGTCCATAAAAGTCCACAAAAAACGTGTCAATATTCCTCCATACTGGTCGTCCAATGTATTCCAAGTGTCCTGAGTGGGTAGCATCCAGAATTTACTCGAAACGAAGTCATTTAGAATGTTTTTAGAGGATAAACAGTAGTGTATAGGATTTCCTAAAAGCGCGTTCACGAGTCTACGGAAACCGCGGCAGACCAAACCAGATGAAAGTGCGCATTCAGCTCGGCAAAGAACTCATGCTCTTCCTCAACACTGAAGTCCTCAGACATTTTTCTTCCGTTGTTTCTTTCTTTGCACAGGTAAACAGCACATTTCTTCTTCTACGCTTGCATTATCGGCAGAGCAGACGCTGAATGCGCACTTTCATCTGGTTTGGTCTGCCGCGGTTTCCGTAGACTCGTGAACTCGCTTTTAGGAAATCCTATACACTACTGTTTATGCTCTAAAAACATTCTAAATGACTTCGTTTCGAGTTAATTATGGACGCTACCCACTCAGGACACTTGGAATACATTGGACGAGCAGTATGGAGGAATATTGACACGTTTTTGTGGACTTTTATGGACCTTTCTGTCTCGGGCGCCATGGACCTCCATTATTTGAATATCAGCAGACAGCAAGAAGCCTCCCAGATCTCCAGATGCATTTGAGATATCAAAAAAGTACTCCAGAGTGTTGTTCAGCATGGGGGTGAGTAGAAAATGAAGGCTAATCATGTTTTGGGTGTACTATTCCTTTAAGGTGCATACATGGAGCCCATCTTTAGCAAATGGTGTTTCTGCCCGGTTCTTTTCATTAAATGCAATTTTTATTCATCTTTATAAGCGCAGCTAAAGAAGATGGGGGGTGAAAGAGTGTTTTTTTAGTGTGAGTGTTTCCCCTCTGTCCCATGCAATACGCTGGTGGGGCAGATTGGGTAATAGCCCATCATTTTGTGAAGATGAAAAGGGATTTTGGGGGTTGGTTTAGTAATTGAAAGTGATCCATCCTCCCATAAATGCTTCCAACCTTTCAGTTGAATTTCCTTTCTGGCCTCGCCTGTGGCTAGCAATCTTTTATTATTTTTATTCTCTCAGCAAGAAACACTTTGGTGGAAGTGGGAAAGCAGATAGACTGGTGGGTGAAGATCGTTTGATCTGGAGTGTCCAGCAGGCTTTGGCTCCTATAACTGCTTCGCCCACCATACCACCTCATTTAAAAGTATTTTTCTGAAGCATGCACACTCTCCCTACTGTCCCTTTGAATACTTGAAGAGAAGGTGATGAGTAGATCCTTGGTTTTTTTCCAGTTTCTTTTTTTTTCTCCCCACTTTCTGCAGCACAGATTATTTGCAGGTAATCCTGTATGCATGAAAGCGAGAGTAACTTTGGCTGAAAGCTAAGAAAAGCTGCTGCAGGACTAAAATTCAACTTCATCCAAAAATACTTTATTAATCCCAAAGAGGGAAATAATAATAATGACGTAATTTTGACAAAAAAACTGAACTTTGATTAGTAGTTTTTTCTCTGAATGAACTTTGATGCATCAGTTTATTTTTACTTTCTTAGTAATTGATGCCACATTTCAACCTGTTGCTGCTTTTCATTTCTTCCGTCATCTTTCTGCTATTTCAGCTATTCAAGCATCACAATGTTTAGCTATTGGAAGATATAGAGGCTATGATCTTCATTTAATTATCACAGGTGAGTTTCTACAGCATCAAACTAATTGTGATTTCTACAAGAAATAAAATAAGCTCCTTGGAAACAAGTAGAAATTTGCTCAGCAATTATAGGAACAGCTTTAATCACTATAACGCCTATAAAGATTTCAGCAGTAATTATTAAAAAGAGGGTATGTGGTGCTGGAGGACATTTTTTTCATCATTAAGCTTCATTCTATCTATATTCTCCCATTCTTTGGTATTTGTTACTTCAATCTCTAACATTCTGCTCTCTCTGCTTTTTTTTTCATAATAGTTTCATCTGGTCTGTTCCTGTTTGGCTGTGACTCCATCCTGGAGAGAAATATCAGCTGTGCTGCTACCATCAACACCTTTGTTTATAGATGTTGGAGATCGGCCTGTTTTCCAGTGTAGTCCTGTTTCTCTGACTGTGACTAACTGGATGTGCTCTCTTCATCCTCTGACATGGTAGTTGGCTCAGAGCTCATCTGCCTGGCTGTGTGTTTCCTGGATGTGGCCGCCTTTTACAGTTGTCTTTTGTATCTCTGTTTCTGTCTCCTTGAACCCCAGTCGGCCTCGGCAGATGGCCGCTCACACTGAGCCTGGTTCTGCAGTAGGTTTCTTCTGGTTAAAAGGGAGTTTTCCTCTCCATTGTCGCTACAAGCATGCTTAGTGTGAGGGATTGCCTTCAAGTCAAAGAATCGATGCAGACCAGATAAAAAATGTGCAGGAAACATATCTTCCCATATGAGTTATATCTAAAAGCTATCATATTAGGTCTACAGTTCCATCTAATTTATGGATTGCAGCTGCAGGTGAATTAAATTCAGGTGTTCTCATCACTTTGTGCATAAAAATGTACTGTTACCCATCCCCATCATTAAGAATATAGCTTCTATAATGCCACTTTTAAATCAGCTCACAGTTAAAAATGTTTTAGATCCTGGGCCTGATTATAAAGTGCCATAAGCACAATCATTTCATTAAGTCTTATTCAATATTGCTAATATTGAAAAATGTCATCATTTGGTTAAAACATTCGCTCAGAAAATGTTCTAATTTCTATCACATTGCAGTTTGTTGTTGCCAATTCATTATTCCCGAACATTGAAGTTTCAAGTTGTTTTCCCTGCTGCTTATTTTCAAGCAGCCAAGCAGCTTCAGGTTTCCCCCCTTTAACGTTTTGCTAATTCAAACTGCAGACTTTGAATCAATCTGACTATATTATCAGGTGAACTGTAAAGTGCCTTGAGATGACGTGTAGTGAATTGGCGCTATAGAAATAAACTGAATTGAAATTGAATTGATATTCATTGTTTTTGAATTTTTTGACTACATCTTAATCAACCAGATTCAGTTAAAGATTTTTTTTTATATTGTTTATTGTATTTGATTTATTTCATATCAAAATCGTTCATGAAGCTAAATAAAGCACGTTTCATCCCAAACTTGGACTACCGAGTCAGACATTTTAAAAAGTGTCATCCTAAAAGACTGGATGAAATGTTGCACTAAATCAAGGATGCCAGAGTCCGGCTCCAAAAAGCTAACATCCTGCAACGTTTAGATGAATTTCTTCTCCAACACGCCTGAACCAAATTATTATCTGGTTAGCAGGCTTCTTTAGAACTCAACAGTCACTATATTCATGCAGATGGAGTGAGGGGTTTCCATAAGTCTTAGGACAGCTAAAGGTTCTACTACTCCCAGCCAGTAGGTTACACAGTCATGCTCAACTGCTTTCCTTCAAACCTTCAGCCGTACCGTCTGCCGCCCAGAACAAAAGCTGCCGCCTCAGTTCGGCTTCTGGGTACTTTTGCTTCCCTAAGTTTTCAAAAACACTGAAAAATGTATCAACTATTTATCCTTGTTTTGCTTCATTATGTTATGCTTGAATCTGAGATGAAGAAGAAGCAATTTCTCAGCTCCATCATGGAGCCACTAGCGTCCACCAACGCTCTGACTCATTCCTATTGGAGCACCATCCTTTTGTCTCCATGTCTGCATCATAACCAAAAGTTATATTTATATTTTTTGGACCTGTCAACATTTATAAAACAATTAATGCTAAAATGTTTTCAGTAAACCTGATACTTTAATTTGGGACATTCTTTGGTTGTATTATTCACTCATTATTTTGATGAAAAAGCTAGAACTATGATTTTTAACAGACTTCTGCTGAATTATTATTATTATTATTTTTTTAAATGATAGACATCTGTTGAATTGAACTCAGGATTCCAGGTTTTAAACCATCAGACATAAGCTGATGTCGTTTTACTGAGTAATTCCAGTTTAACTTCCTTCTAACCTTCACTTTTCGCCATGTTGGTGAATGAAGCTACTCCTCATGATAAACGCCAGATCAGACCAGCCAGAGGAGAAGACAATCAGCTCTGCAGAGCCTTTAAGCTGCACAGGTTCAGGCCAAATCAATTTGATTATTTCAGGGTTTTTTGTTTTTTTTTTAAAACTACAATGACCTCAGTTACAAAAGTCCAAGTTTCTTTTTGATCTAGATATCAAGATGTTCCAACTGTGTGTTTATTTGCATCCTTTCACCCATGTCAGGTCAGGACGCTCCACCCAACAGGCTGAGTCTATAGTTGGCATGCAGAGTGTGAATTTCAGACACTGGAAGAGAAATCCTGCCAAACATCCTTTTGCAATAATAATATTGAGATGAATCCCTCTTTGTTTAAAATGTTGATATGGATTCAATCCTGTAGATGGCATTTATACATTGGAACCTGTTCTTCTTTGCAACAAAACTCTTATTGTTTAATGTATGGTGGGATGTGTTTTGAGTCAGAGTAAAGATGAGAGAAAGAGCAAACAAAGGAAATGTCCATTCAGTTTGGTGGGAATCAGTAATGGATCAAAAACACATGATGTACAAGAGTAGCTGCTCTGTGCGTCTGAACCACCAGGAGGAAAAAAATCTGTGAAACCACCTGAAATTTAAAGGCAGTTATGATCTATGAGCAACGTTAACAGTAAGGGACTAGAATTTATTTAACAGATAATGGGAAATCTGATATGTGTTGAAATCAAATTCCCAAAAAAAGTTTTAAAAAAACCAATCCACTGGACTTTGTTTCCAAGTTTGAAGACGTTTCGCCTCCGATCCAGGAAGCTTTTTCAATTCAAATTGTCAGGAATAGCGTTGAGTTCGAGATTTTTATACAGTAGCCCATCAAAACCTTGTTTTTGTTTTGAAAACATGCAAATTGGATCGGACGAACGGGTAAATCCCTTTGGAATGAGGGTCGTTTGGCGGGAAGAGATTAACTCAATTGCTAAATCATTTCCCCCTATCATTGCAGCCCGAGCCCCTGCACAGGAGAGCGGCGGACCTCGCCTATTCAGCCAGGTCAACAATCCTCTTTAACGACCGACCTTTCAGACACTTAGACGGGTATGGGGCATTGCAGGCTAACAAAAGAAGCCAAATGACCCCCATTCCAAAGGGGTGGAACTATTTATCTGTTCCGATTTGCATGTTTTCAAAACAAAAACAAGATTTGATTGGCTACTGTATAAAACGTCAAACTCAACGCTATTTCTGACATTTTAAATTGGAAAAAGCTTTCTGGATCGGAGGCGAAACGTCTTCAAACTTGGAAACAGAGTCCAGTGGATTATTGTAATTTTCTTTTTTTTCGAATTCCAGTTCTGCACATTTGAATTTGCTGCTGAAGGGAAGTCCTTCATGTCAAAGCAGGAGAGGAGCAAGATTATCTGAACACTAGTGCCCTCCTCTCTGTCTGCTATGCTAACCTAAATGAATCAATATATAAACTAAGGTTGTTTGAATAGAATAGAAATAATCAAAAAATGACTTTAAAAAATGATTTTAAAGAGTATGTAGATATCTGGTTTACATGTGTACTACAGCACTTTTTCTGCATGGTTTTGTTTAGTTTTCTCCAAGGTTCCTTCTTCTTAATCTAATATTGCAGAACAAGTCTGCTGTAGTTTTCCTGTCTGCAGCTAAAGGTATTCCAGCTCAATCCTCAGATCCGGGTCTCAGGTCCCAGACTTGAAGGATTACATGAACAACATACATTTCCACATAATGGGTTTTAGGCAGATGTCCAAGTGTCTGCAATAATATCCTGTTCTCTGAATCTCTTGGCCCCCACAGGCCTTCCTGGGGCTTCAGTGACCCCCCTGGAACTGGCAGGTATTTTTCGGATACAAAAAGCAGCATCCAGTTTATGCATCCCAACATCGTTCCACAAGCCAGAACAAAACCAAGCCTTTGGGTTTTTTTTAGGAATGCACAGAGACAAACATCTTCTTGTTTCAAAGACGCAAAGTAAGACGAAGAAGCGGGTTGTTCTCTAGTTATCATTTAATTTAGATAAAGAAACGCTGCAATTTCAGAGGGCAGGGACCTGGCATGTACAAATGAATGCATGACTTGTTTTCTATTTTCTGTAGAAATGTCTAATTACATCCCAACACTTACCTCTTGGCTGTGCATTCCTTCTGCAACTTTGTTAAGGACTCTTTCTCCTCCTTCAGACTTTCGTGCTGAGTAGAAAAAACTTCCTCTGAAAGAAGCAGAAAGAGAAAGAAAAATGTAAATGATCAGGTTTGTGTGCCTCGGTCTGTTACATCTGAACATCCAGGTGGGCCTGTGTTGTGCTGGCTTCCTTCCACTGTCAAACTTACGCAAGATGAAAGAGGTTTTTTGTTTTGATCGGGAACAAACCATTTCCTTTTGACACCACATAAAACCAGACAACATATGCATGGAGATTATAGGATTTGTCAGACTCCATAAATACAGAGTGGGTAACATAAACACAAATTGAATAGATATCATTAGAGGCGGTGATGATCTAGCCGGAGGAAGAGGAGTAACTGAAACACAGACGAGTTGAAGCAGCAGGGAACCAGAAACCACAGAGGTATAATAAGTGTAGGGTTGTAACCCGATATTTTTCTGATCTCTGTGCCAAAAATCATTTGTTTTATGTTCTGATTGTGCATATGAATATGTGGTGCTTTCCCGCAGCAGTTGTGACTCTGTAATAACCTCTGAGCCTGTCAGGAACCTGTTTTCACTGAGTCAGCGAGGCTACATGTTGAGGTGGGTAAAAAATAAGAGGATGATTTACGAGCATTTTTAATTATGAATGCAAAACCAAGTAAATGACACTGTTGCTTTTATTAGGTGGCTTCATAAATCGGCTCTCTATGCAAGAGATTAAAAGGCCTTCATATAAACATGAACCACAAAAACCGGATTAAATCCAAAGCAACCAGACTTTTGCCCAATTTTTCTGGAAAAAAGTGTTTTTTTCTATGTTTTGTGGGGGAAAAAAGCCCAATAAATAATCACTTGTTTTCACTTATCCTGCCTACTCATTGAATCCAGGTGTTTCAGTCCAAGCCCATAGTCTGCTGGGTCTCCCAGTGTGGTTCTGTGAAACAAAACCCTTAAGAACTTCACAGAACATTTGTCCCTGCATCATTTAAATGACATACAGCAGACACTATTTACTAGTTCGGTGGATTTTTTTTAATGGAAACTTCATTAGACCTCATTTAAGAGCATCAGGATAAAAGGGGGGATGGTTTTCTTATTTCTTATTCTAGAAACATGGGAAAATGCATATACTTTCCCTGCTTATAAATACTGCTCAGAAATTACAGGGGACACTTAAATAACACGCCCTAGATCTGAATGAATGAAAGACTCTCATTTAATACTTTATTCTGTACAAAATTGTGCTGACAACAAAATCTCTCAAAAATCATCAATGGAAATCAAATAATTATCCAATTGAAGCCTGGATTGGAGTCACACACATAATTAAAGTGGATAAACACACTACAGCCTGACATAACTTTGATGCAATGTCCTTTGAACAGGTCAAAATGAGTCTTAGTCTTCGGTGCGGCCTCCACGTGCCTGTATGACCTCCCTACAATGCCTGGGAACGCTCCTGATGAGGTGCGACGTGGTCTCCTGAGGGGTCTCCTCCCAGACATGGACCAAAGCATCCCCCACCTCCTGGACAGTCCGTGGTACAACATGACATTGGTGGATGGATCGAGACATGATGTCTCAGAAGTGTTCAGTTGGGTTCAGGTCTGGGGAATGGACAGGACAGTCCATAGCTTCAATGCTTTCATCTTGCAGGAACTGCTGACAAACTCTAGCCAAATGAGGCCTAGCATTGTCCTTAATTAGTAGGATCCCAGGGCCAATTACACAAGCATATGGTCTCACAAGGGGTCTGAGGATCTCATCTGAGTATCTAATGGCAGCAATGCAACCTCTGGCGAGCACATGGAGCACATGGAGCAGATACTGATCCACTGCCAAACCGGTGACGCTGAAGGATGTTGCAGGCAGCAGATCGCTATCCTCGTTTTCACGTCTGTCACATGTGCTCAGCGTTAACCTGGTTTCATCTATGAAGCACACAGGGTACCAGTGGTGAATTAGTATGGAGAGATATTTGTGCCTTCGGTTTGAGCACGCAGGAACCAATCCGAGCGCGCAGTGATACAACATTGGTGCGATCAACTCTGAAAAACTCTTCTCAACGCACTGTTGTCGCACTCAGTTCTGTCTCTGCTCGCGCTCGACCTGCTCTCTCCGCGCTCAACACCAGCTGTGCACTCAGCTGTCTCTCTGCCCGCTCGACTCAGTCTCTGCGATCGCAAATTCATAAATGTATGTAAATATGGCGGTTGGCAAACAACTAGATCGGGATTGAAACAAATATATCCTACTGTCTGCTGACTGAATGATTGTGTTTAAATGAATATAACGCTGAACTAGAATCACAGAAAATTTAACTTCTTAAAGGAACAATTTCTTCAATCTATTCTAACGCCAATATGATCACAAACTTTTCTCCTTAGGAGGCTGAATTCAATCACTGATTCTTTTACCCGATTTAAAATTAAATTCTGTAACTAAAAAGAAACACCATTCCTAATATTGGAATATATTGAAGGATCCCTAAAAATGTTTCCATATCTAAAATATTTTTATCTTAATACTATCGAACCATACTTGAATCTGAAATGTCCTCCTGATTTCTCTTTTTAAACAGCAAAATTAAATCCATATCAATAGCAGGCAAAAAGAGATGGATGAGGTGATGATCTAATAACTGTTTTACTGATATTTATTTGAGATAATTCAAGATATTTTATAGTACTATCTGCTGTCCATCAAATTGAATGTTGACCACGAACCTAAAAGAGTTGTTTGATTTCCTGATTGTGTTTTTTTTTTTTTTTACCGGATGTAGTATTTGGAACGAATACTTTGATTGGATGAAAAAAAGCTGGGCGTGATTGGCTGATGGTGTGGTTTATTTACATACATTTATGAATTTGCGAGCACAGAGAGGCAGTCGAGCGCACAGCTGGTGTTGATCACGGAGAGAGCAGGTCGAGCGCGAGCAGAAACGGATCCTAGCACGCATATGGAACTGAGCGCGACGAGTGTGCTGAGAAGAGTTTTTTCCAGAGTTGAGCACGGGCCAGACCGGTTTTGAGTGTTAGCGTATTGTCTCACTGCACGCTGGGATTGGTTCCTGTTCTCTCAAACCGAAGGCACAAATATCTCTCCATAAATTTGCCAATTCTGTTGGTCAGGACACCTTGCCAAGCTTTCTGAAGGGCTTGTAAGCACAACCCTTATCCCTGGACGTGAGGCCCTTATACCATCCTCATGGAGTCTGTTTCTAACCATTTGTGGAGACACATGAACATTTATGGCCTACTGGAGATCATTTTGCAGAGCTCTGGCAGTGCTCCTCCTGTTCCTCCTTGCACAAGGGCGGAGGTAGCGGTCCTGCTGCTGGGTTGTTGCCCTCCTACGGCCTCCTACATCTCTTCTGGTGTACTGGCCCTTCTCCTGTTAGCGTCTCCTGCCTCTGGGCATTATACTGAGAGATACAGCAAACCTTCTTGCCATAGCTCGCATTGATGTGCCATCCTGGATGTTCTGTACCACTTGTAGAGTCTGTCCATGTTAGCAAGTGTGTGAAAGCCCCACCAACATTCAAAGAAAAGAAAACATCAGCCAGAAAGCAAAGGTACTGAGAAGTGGTCTGCAGAACCACTCCTTTATGGAGAGAATTTTGTTTTCATTGAAGTCATACTATGTGTTCTACGTGTTAACTTTATGTTTTTTTAGCAGTATATATATAAATGTAATAGTCAGGTGAAGCCTGGGTACTGCATATGTGCATCAATGTTCCTACACAGCCACAAAGCCTTTCTAAAGTGCACAAATTCAAAACATGTAAAGAATGTGTCTGAAATTAGATTTTCCAGGAACTAATTAAGATAATCTGTTGAACAGTCAGTCTTACAACAGCTGGCCTTCGTAGAAGTTTGCAGCATTTAAGATTATCAGACAACTTGTGATCAGATGGATCAGAGGGCCTGCTTGTTATCAAGTCCTTCCACCTACATGCAGGCTTTCCCCACAGGCATCATAAGGGTATAAGGTGAGAGGCTGATGGAGAAAAGAGAGGTTGAAGGAAACATCTCAATCAGATTAGCTGTCTGGGCAGATAGCATCAGACAGAGATCAGACAGTCCATCCCTCTGTTCTGAGTGATGACATGAAAACATATTTTAACACGAATGACAGAGGCCTGTATCCCACCACCTCTTTCATGTAATGCGTGGCTCGACCCTATCTTGTGTGCCCATCAATCTTCCCATCCTTTCATGTCTCTAACCTGTTCCCGTTTGTACAGTGGTATGATACGGACAGACAATCCGTAGCAGAAGCTACTGCAGCACAGATGTTTTACTCTGGATACAGGTTTCTCCAAACACCCCCACAGAAAATAGAAAATATTGGCTACTATATAATCTGGATAAATGCAAGGGTGAAATTGAATTATGAATTGGTTTCTAACATTTCTTTTTAGAGTTTTGACACGACCTAGTAAACTATGAGGTCCTTCTCATAACATGGGTGATGTAGAAGGAAATACAGCAGAGAAATGCAAGCCCAAGGGGCTTCTGGGGATTATTCTAGTAATACTGGACTTAAAGTCAGACAATAAGTTAGTATCAATATATATTATGCTATAATTTTATTCAATAATACTGATATTACATTTTCAATATCTTAATAAACATTAGTTTGTGATTATAGCATTTGTCACTGAGTTTTCAGGTTTAATGTATATTATTATTATTATTGGTAAAATTATTGTTTGTTGTGGGCATTCTTGGCTGTTGTTCTGAGGCCTTTATTTATTTTTCAAAGATATTAGAATAATACCTTATCAACTAAACTTAAAAAAAAACATAAATGTGATAAGTTGTGGCCATATCTTCAGCCCTAACTGGATGTTACTGGTAGTACAAGGTATTCAATATCGAGAGAAATAACAGACTGTATAAAAGTGTCAATACATGCTGCCTAGTTTAATTTCAGCTAAAAAAGAAGTTAGGAAACAAAAGGAAACCTGATCACTAAAAGATTTAAATTCCCAGGTAAAGTTCTCACTTATTTTTTCCATATCCACCTGTATCTATCTATTAAATTAAGATACTC